TACTTAGATTTATAGAAAAAAAGGAACAAGTGCCTATACAGAATAGTAAGCYATTCAAACTAGCTGGGGTTATAAGTAGGGTTACTATATATTCTGATTTGCCTAAAACAGGCCTGTTTCCTCCCCCAACATTATTACTAGGGCCCCTTTCACACTTAAATGTCCCATTTGGAAAATTATATGGTCATCCTAAGTATAGGGTATAACCAGGAGTAGGAAGAGACTAATCTAAAAAGATGAGACTGAATAGTGGCCCAAGGAGGACCCCATGCCAAGGAATACAGGTTCTTCTATAAATACTGAGACATCATTAAAGATTTAACAGCACAAATTTTAGGAGGATCAGGCAGCACTTACACATACAAAGAGAAATAGAAAAAAACAGTGCGAATATTAGTGGTGAAGTTTTTACAATAATTCTGATAACACATAATAAAGACTTAGATTAGGATTATGGCTATTAAAATGGGAGAGAAATAAATTTGTGAAAGACACTAGCTCAACTCAGATGTTAGCAACTTTTTCTATAAAAGGTCAAATAGTAAATTTTTTAGGCTTTGTGGGCTATAAGATCTCTGTCATAATTATGCACAATTGTGTAATTCARCCAGTGTAGCCTAATACAGCTGTAGACAATACACAGATGCATAAATACGACTGTGTTCCCAAAAAAAWTTATGTATAGACTCCAAAATTAGAATTTCATGTAATTTTTGTGCATTAAGTATTGCTGTCATTGGATTAACTTCAACCATTTGAAATGTAAAACACATTCATAGCTTGTGGGCTTGTACAAAATCAGGTACTAAGCCAGAAGGTCGAGGTATRCAGATCCYCCAGCACAGCTGAATCCCATACTTGGATCTACTAATCACATCAGCATTTATTATCTTAATTAAGCATCCTATCTCAGGATACTACCAACATTATTAAATTGACAGATTTTATTTTTGGCCAGAAATGCACAGTACCTTAAATTGAATCCCATTCATAATTGTTTTTATTCTTCACTGAAGACAATTCTGAGCATATTTGAATCAGTCTGAATACCTGACTTTTGCTTAACTGAATTATTTAGGAATGAGTTTAAGAAAGAACTATGGAGAAAATGTGATTCATCTTGTGAACTTCCTTCAAAATGTAATCTGTCACTCAGGCATGATTTACCCCTATAAGACATCTCCATAAATTATGGCCCAGTGCTTCCATTTCAGGGGACTGCATACTTGCTTAAAAGTTAAGTGCTATGCAATTGACTTGGTAGGAAAGAAATAAATAGATGATTCAAAGGACAAACTATGAAAGTGATTTATGATGTTTGAAAGCCTTTCTCTAGGGGCTGGGTTATAGCTCAGTGGTAGAGCGCTTGCCTCTCACATATGGGGCACTCGGCACCACATTAAAAAATAAATAAATGAAGTAATGATATTGTGTCTATCTTAAAAAAAACTTTCACTATATGTGTATAGAAATTCCATTTAGATTAACTATAAAGCAAAAAAAAATTTCCATAAATGCCACCATAGTATTTATTGGGCAAGGAAGGGACAGAGAGAGTGGACCTAGGAATGATGCACATGCTAGGCAMTATAATTACTGAGGTTACTTCATAATATTTTCAGAATCTCAGAGTAGTGTCAACATATGTAGCATGGCCATCTTGCTGGTGCTTCCTACTCCTGTCTCTTATTAAGCTATATAATTTCACATACCCTACTCCCCATACCTGGGGACCATCATATCTTCCAAATTAATATTCCTAAGACTTTGCTTCTTCCCTTCCTGAAGTGTTTCAAAATTAATGTGTGAGACTCCGTATCACAAAGCATGAAAAGGTAGGGCAAAACAGGGTAAATTTCAGCCTAAAAACTAGGTTTTCTTCCATTTCCAAAAATTGGGCAAGAAACTTAATGAACAATATAATGTCAAATAATATAAAATAAGGAATAYAGGCCCAGAATAACTTTAATCTAAAGCTTATACTTAAAGATCAAATACTCACATTGTTTTCCTAGACCACTAAGATATTATCCTTTGTCCAAATCCTCACTGTACAGCTTTGAGCAACTTTTAACCCCCATTGAATTAGAAATATAACTTTATAGAAAATGGGCTGGCTATATTTGAGGTCTGAGAAAGAAGTTAACCATGTCTCTGATGAATTAAAAAGGAACAGTTCTCAAGAGAAACGAAATGTGGTGTATAGTTCCTTGGAGAATCAGTTATCTTAACTAAATATGCCTTCCCCTCAAATCAAGTACAATACCAAATGTTCAAATATGAMTGTACCTAAAGGTACTTAATATTCTATCGACCATTATTTTCCCTAAAATTTTACAGTCAGTTTTCCATTTGTATTTACAGTAATAAGAACATCTTTGGCTGGGCATGGTGGTGTATCCCAGTGACTTGGGAGGCTGAAGCAGGAGGATCACAAGTTCAATGACCAGCCTCGGCAATTGAGCAAGGCCCTCAGTAACTCAGTGAGACCCTGTCTTAAATTTAAAAATAAAAAGGGCTGTGGCTATGGCTCAGTGGTAAAGTGCCCCTGGGTGCAATCCTCAGTACAAGGAAAAAAAAAATCTCTTCACCAGGAGCAAATACTCTCATTCATGGTGTTTTTCAGACTATTCTTAACCTTATATCCTATTCTAACATTCCCTACAGATCAGAATGATAAAAAGCAATAGGAGGTAGGATCCCAATCATGGGGAAGAGATATACATAAGATGAGAATTTGCCTGGGCCACGGAGTTTGGTTCAGCCTGCTTGGTATCACCAGTATGCAAAATCCCACTCAAGATCCTCTTTCCTATCTCTGGTTATTTACTTCCCTAGGTTAGTTACTCTGTCAATACAAACTGTTTCCCCCAAATCCCAGAAAGTGTGAAGTCAAAAAATCCAAACATGAACTCACTCTTCTGCTTCTTGACARTATGATCTTGAATAAATTCTTTGGATCTCATGTTCCACATCCATAAAATGAGGATAACAAAATTACTCTTCTCAAGGAAGTGTTAGGAGTATTAAATGAATTATGGTAAAATGCTCTAATAAAAAGTGAGTAGTAGAATGGAGCAGACATGGACTAACTCATGAAGACTGGCCCAGTTCCTAGGCCCATCAAAGCAATCCTTGCCTGGCTGACGGTACTAATAGAAGCAAAATTTGGGAACAAAGCACAGTGATGGGTGAGGTTAGAGAGAAGTTTAAATAGTAAAAGGAAGAATGCAATCAAATGTGGTGAATGGAAGAGGGTGATGGAAACAGACAGTCCTAGAAGCATACTAAATACCAAGAAATATTCTGCAATTCAAATGCTTTAGTAAAGTGGTCAATGTTTTATATTCTATAAAGCATATATTTCCCCACATTTGTGGCCAAGCTTCAAAGAAAGGGTTCATTATAAATATCTTTTGTCCTGTTTCTCCATAAAAACATCCTCTCATACCAGATTTCATTCCAAAGGTATTCAAGAAACACTTCAATTCAAACATTTTCGTATCCTCAGTTCTCTAGGCACCAGACACACAAAGACAAATGCATGGGTGAATTTAGATATATCAATCACTACTTAAAGTGGAATATACCTTTTAATCTCAACCAACTGTAGAAGGCAAAAGAGTAAGAAAGACTAAAAGATTTACTGAAACACTAAGAGTGGTTGTCTCTGAGTGATGAGATTAAGCATTGACACCTTCTGCCATATTATACTTCTGTGCTCTCCAGATTTTCTATAGTGATCTACTTGATTTGGTTTAGTTTACACATGGAACATGTTCTTGAAGCTGGGAAGTCAGATTTTATAAAGAATTTACTGCAATATGATTTCACTTGTATATTTGTAATAAAACTATCATGTTTATTTTAAAATACACTAATATAGGCATGGGCCCCAGAAACAATCTAATGTAACTTCTGCTTTTTAAAGATGTGAAAATTAAGAGACAGAGTTGAAACGATTTGTTTCAGATCACACAAATAAGTAACAGTTTCAGGACTAAAACCAAGGTATCTCAACTTCTAACTTGGAGTTCCTTCTACTATTCCATTTGTTTGAATGACACTTCTCTAAAATCCACCATCTGGGGAGCATCTACGACTTGTGAGGTGTTACAGAAATACAGAAATGGAAAAAACTTAGTTCCTGGGTTCAGAGTAAACAGTTTTAAAATAAAAGACAAACTGTCATGAGTTTTGCTTTCATTATAGAAAACCTTATTACCTATTAATGAAACTTAACATTTGATTTTTTTTTTTTCCTGAAAGGTTCCACCTGAAGTTAGTTAACTCTCTAGTACCACTCACAAGCCATAAATCCTGCTTAATTTGTAAGGGAGGAGGTGTGGGAAGTTAAGATAGCTAAAAACCAATTATCCTTCAAAGTCTAACTATGACCTTAACTTCAAGTATGCATTTCTTTCGACTTYCTCAGGTGCAATATCAGTCCCCATCCCGTGGAACAGAGGGAATTGCACCGACTTTTATTTTTAGTGTTTCTGTGAACCTGTGATTTGGCGCCCGAAACCACTGCCTTCACTCACCTCCCTTCCTTTCTTAGCGTTCGGGTAGTTGGTTTCGGGGTTTTTGTTGTTTGCTTGTTTTCCTACCTACTCACACTCACAGGACCAAGCCTGCCGCTGCCCTACATACAGTGGCACAGCCCTGCCTCCTTCCAGGGAGTCTGCTATGGAAGGGGCTCTGCCCTCGCGCCTCAGCCGTCCRGGAGAGCCAACCAGACACCACTACCCAGGAGGTTCCTCCTTTCAGCTGACATCACTCTCACTCACTTTCGCATGCTGAGAAAAAGAACAGCGGGGACGACCCTCGGGGATACCTGAGGGTCACAGCTTGACTGGTGGAGTGGTCGCCAGATTCCGACCAGAGACTAACCTGAGAGGACATTGGAACTGGCCTTCTCCGCACCTCAAAAATAAAACCCCACATCACTTAAATATAGAAACGTTCGCAACGGTAACACTGCGAACAAAACCACTCACCTGCAAAAAGACCACCAGCACCAACTGCGGTTCCTCTGGGCCGCGAAGCRGGCAGCGCCTCCTACAATTCATCGTTACGACCGGCATCGACGCTCTTTTCTAGCCCTGGAGCCAGACGGGGCAGGTCCTATGTCTCTGCCTATTGGAAAGGGGAGCTGTCGTTCATCCCTGGCTCCGCCCTAACCCCGGGACTAACCACGGTCTTTTCCGTTTCCCCAAATCCCAAGGGTAAGAAGCGAGGCGATGATTGGCTGTATGAGGAGACGAGCTGTCGTCTGGGCCAATAAGAATATGGTTTCAGAGCCGGTGGGCGGGCTTGGGCCTAGGGAAATAGAGAAACAAACCCTGGCGCGTCGCCAAGGCAATAGGAAAACCCCGGAGCTTGCGGAGACCCAACGGTTTGAGACTCTAGAAAGTGTTTGGCGTCATTGGGAAACACCTGCCGAGGGAGAGAGGCGTTGGAGGAATCTTGGAATAGATGAGGTGATATTTCTTTTACTCASGGGAAGTTTTCGGATTAAACCCTGGGGATGAAGCCAGGCAGGCATCGCAGAAGAAAGCTCCTTTATAACAAGCACTAGTGATAGTAACTCATAGATCGTGATTAGAAAGAAAGCTGCTCAGGTGCCCGATTTATAGGCAATAGCTCACTCTTACTTTATTTTACTGCTTTAAAGGGTCTCCCTTGGGCATTCTCTGAAAGATTTTAGCTGGAGAAGAAACGGTGAATGGAATTTCCTAAAAGCTTCTAGAACAAAGAATGGTAGGACGGTGTAGAATGGGAGAGAATTATAAATTTGGAGGCCAAACAAGAGAAACTATGAAAATGCTGGCTTGTCAGGCCCTGGAAGCTTCCAAGCAGGCTTGAATTTCCACACAAGGTTTGAAGGTTTGAAGCATGTGTGTCAGAACTTTTGTCTGGGTGGGAAAGATAAGGAATGGTATTTTTGTCCAACCACATGAGAAGTTAGTTCTCCTTCTTGATTTCTAGAAGCTTTCCTGTCTATTATTTGGGATCCTTTGGATTTTTCCTGTTTCATTCTCAACAAGTCCAGTAGGTTTGTGACCAGCCAGCAGGTCCTCAAAGTAATTATGCATGTTTTTGAAAAAATAATCTTACCACTTTTTAAAATTTAATTTAATTTAATTTTTTACTGTGACACATTATTATTTGATCCCTCCGTGGTTATAACYCCCTACCTAGTGATAGTTGGATTTAAATCTGCCCAAGGTTAACTGCCCAGGTCAACTAGAGGAGRCAGCTTCCAAATCCTAGACACTTGTCCATTTGCTGTTTTCCCTTCCTTCATACCACATGAGGATGAATTAAGGAAACAGCTTTTCAGATGCTGCAGTGTAATATGTCAAAGCTGATTATTCCACGTGCCAGCTATGTATATTGTGGAGGATAAAGACAGTCATTCAGTGGGCTGGGGTGTGTAGAGCGCTTTCCTAGCTTGTGGGAGGCATTGGGTTCAATTCTCAGCACCACATATAAATAAATGAATAAAATAAAGATCCATCAACATCTTAAAATAATTTTTTTTTAAAAAGACAATCATTTAGAGGTGGGAGTGGTGACACCTGCCTGTAATCCCAGCAGCTGGGGAGGTTGAAGCAGGAGGATTGTAAATTCCAGGCCAGTCTCAGCAACTTAGTGAGGCTCTAAGCAACTTAGTGAGACCCTATCTCCAAATAAAAATAAAAAGGTCTGAGGATGTGGCTCAGTGGTTAAGCACCCTTGAGTTCAATCCCTGACACCAAAAAAAAAAAAAAAAAAAAAAGCAGCCATTCTTAAGTGGCAAAGTCTTATGTCATTTGACATTTAGGGATACTGACTCTGGACTTATGGACACTTGCTCATTGGATTTAATTTTGCTGCTGTTATGGATACCCATGGAATACTAGTTTGTCACATATAGCCTTAACAATATCAAACATGCCCTTTAGAATCATTCATAAGTTACTTTGGTATAAGATGGAAGCAATTACCAGTGATTCTGTTGGGTAGGAATTAAAAAGCAAATTTTAGTCAGGAGCAAGCGTGGTCTTTGTGACATAGATACACACAGAGACTAACAGAATTACAGTAGTCACTGTTTTCCTATGGCAGGAATGTTTCCATAGTTACCAGGATGTGATATGGTCATATCCTGGACCTTGTGTTTTGATCTATTTGATGAAGCATGTCTCTTAGGAACTTTTAACTAGTGAGTTGTGACTCACAAAGTTTCTTAAACCCGCCTAAGGCAAAGATGAATTCCAAAGGGTTTTAGACTAATAAAGGGCCTTACAAAATAAACTCTAGCTCCTTGTTGTACAGGTAAAAAAAAAAAAAAAAACTGAAATTTAAGTAATTTGCTCAGAATTTTTGGTTGGAAGCAGGGCTGGGACAAGGACCCAAGGTTGCTAATTTGTAATTTTAGTAAAATTCCCCCTCCTCCTGCTGCTTCTCTCCCAGTTCCCCTCCCAAAGAAATATATACTTTTTAAAACTCAAGATTATTCATTTTAACTTACGTTAAGACCAATTATGAGGAATTCAATTCTGATATAGTAGACATTAGGAAAATAACTTTTCTCACTACTTCAAACGACTTTTGATGTAATCCTGCTTTTATCCACACAAGAAATGAGAAAGCAATAAATTATTAAAGCCATGTTGTCTCTTTTTCTGTTATGTGTTAATATTTACCTATAATAATACTTGAAGGATTGTCTTGTTCATGACTTGAATAAAATACCATATTATGATAGTCAAAATAATTTTACAGCTATGTACACGGAGTCTTTAGCCTTTTCTAGGTTGAGCTGAACTGAGTCCATAAAGCATAAAAACACCATCCACTGACCTAGTCTATTCTACCTTTTCCTGGCCTGGCATAACCATTGTGTTTCTTCCTACAGAAAACTCCAGAGTGAGTTAGACCTGTATCCCAGGTTCTGGACCGTCTCCTTGTCTTCAGGATACATCATGAGCTTGTTTTTTGCTGCTGGTATCTTGTCTCCCACCATACCCACTACCTTTTTCAAAGTTAGATCAAAGTCTTCTACCCTTAATTTAGTGTAATCAGCCAATGTTTGTCTGGCCCCCACCATGAACCTACTTAATACAAGTCCCCCCCCCCTTGCTAAAACTGGAAACTAGAAGTACTCTTACAGAGCATACACACACGCACAACTTGCTTAAGCTAGGCTGACCCGCTTGCCTGCATTTTCTCAGCAGTCTCTTAACAAGTATTTCTAAATCCACTTTTACTCTCTTTTAGGAAGCCAGGGTGATATTGGTAGAATATCTTTGTGATTGTGTCACAAGTAACTCCCCATCTTCTCCTATTATACAACAGTGGCCTCCCATTGCTCCTCTTTCCCTCCCCAAACCACCCCACCCCGTGGTACTGGGGAATGAACCTGGAGGCTCTGTACTACTGAATCCCATCTCCAGCCTTTTATGTTTAATTCTGAGACAGGTTCTTGCTAAGTTGCTTAGGGCCTTGCTAAATTGCTGAGGCTGGCTTTGAACTTGTTTTCCTCTAGCCTCAGCCTCCCAGCCAATAAGATTACAGTTTATGCCACCACACCTGGCTCCAGCCCTTTTTAATTTATTATTTTGGGACAAGATTTTGCTGTATTGGTCATGCCTACCTTGAGCTTGCAATCCTCCTGCTTCAGCCTCCAGAGGAGCTGGGATTATACACCTAACCCTATTGGTTCTCACATTGAGCTTCTTCTTTCCCATGGACAATCGGCCTTTTCACATGTATTTTCCCTATCTACCTACCTCACTCCCTTGGTTTAATGAACCTGCTATTCAATATTTCAATATTAGTTGAGTGATCTTTTCTCTAGGTAAACTTATTCCTTCTTGGATTGTATCTCCTAGGTTAATTACATATGGTAACGGTATCATGTACATCTTCTTCCTAGAACTTTACATACATACATTTACATTGTACATTATCTGTCCCTTGTGGTCTGCAAGCTACCTTAATATATGAATCCTATTGGTTTAGTTTACAACTGGTCCACATTATTGGGTATCAGGAGCTCAATAAATGCATGCATCAGGGAAAGAGAAGATTATGCTCCCTCTACCTTTTCTCACTAGAACTTCATACAAATAAATAAGCACATGTCTTTTAAAAAAAATTATCCATTCAGATCCTAGGAGCTTGTTGAGATAAATTATGATACATGCACACGCACACACACTTATAAGTTATAACTAATATTAAATTTTATATGTGTAGACTCAAACTGTTAGATCTGAAAAAAACTTGAGAAATCATATAATTTATATCCCATATTTTTTCTTTCCTTTTTTTTTTTTTATGTGTGTGGGGCAGGATACTAGAAATTGAACCCTGGAGTGCTCTACCACTGAGCTACATCCTCAGCCACTTTTATTTTTTATTTTGAAACGGTTGCTAAGTTGCCCAGCCTGACCTCAAACTTGTGATCCTTCTGCCTCAGCCTCCCAAGTATCTGGGAGTGGTTACAGGTATGCACCACCTTGCTCAGCTGAAATCAAATTCTTTAGCTTACACAAAAGTGAGAATTTGTGATATTTGTCTTTTGAAGCCTGGTTTATTTCATAACATAATGACCTCAGTTCTGTCTCCATTCACCTCCCTTTATTTTATATTTGAGAAGAACTGAGGCCCAAAGTGGTTGAGAGAATTGCTTGTGAACAAGAGCACTTAAAACTCAGAATTGAGAATGAAAATTTCCTAACTCTCAGGTTGAATCTCAAGTGCAAATGTTTTACTGGGGACTAATAATGATACACCAGGGGCACAATGGGACTTATGGGTTCAAAGAAGTACAACATTGCAGTGGGTAAGGGGTGTGGGCTCTACTCTGTACCAACTATGTGATCTCAGGCAACTTGTTTAACATCCTTGCCTTATTTCTTTGGCTGTATAAAGGGCATAATGGTAGCTACCTTATAAAGTTATTGTGTATTTTAAAAAGTTTATATATGAAAAGAGTTCAATAAATTTTAACTTTAAAAAATTTCGGTAATAGGGCTGGGGTTGTGGCTCAGTTGTAGAGTGCTTGCCTAGTACGTGTGAGGCACTGGGTTCAATTCTCAGCATTGCATGTCCA